CTGGAGACTACGAATCTCGCTTCTTAACCTGCCAGAGGGTCTTGTTCCTGAGGACAAGCAGGATGCCCTTTCTCCGACTGCTCCCCCTCTATAGAATCTGGGAAACACAAGACTTGAGGATTATCCTCAGTAACCAAGGTTTGAAGCACCTTCCGTGGCAGCTGGGATGCCAATTTGGCTTTCAAGAGCGCAATAGGGATATGCAGGACCTTTTGATAGTCTGATGTGTACGTAACCTTTGGAACCTGGAGTTCTGTCTCCATGACCTCCGCAATCTCGAGAGGGATTTTTGGTTCATTTTCTTGCGAAGGTGGCTCAGAAGAGGGCAAGGCCTCCTCTTCAGGTGAAGGCCTTCTTTGGATCATTAACTGTGATCGCTGCACTGATCACTCCTTTTTGTTGATTGCTGTGGGGGTTGGCTCGAGAATTACCATTGCCTTGGTTGTTTGCCAAATTTGAAGACTGTTGTCGTGACCCATTATGATGGTGTGACAAGCTCTCTATGCGAACCGACTTATAGATTAGGTTTGACATAGAGGTGGGGTTGGAAGCCTCAACATGTAGGGCGATCTCAAGTTGCGTGTTTCGAACGCAGGTATGAATTGCTTCCTTCTCAGGCATAGGGTTGGGATGGCAAGCCGCCAGTGTTTGAACATATTTTTCAGCACCTTGGTCCCTGATAGGAAACATGTCAATAACGCATACAAAACAGTGGAAATTCCCGATAGTCTCAGAATGGCCCCAGAACTGGACAATGGAAATTCCTGATAGTCTCAGAATGGCCTCAGAACTTGTCAGGATCTTCATCAGCACTTCAAAGGACTACCTGTCAAGTTTCATCGTAATCAGACATGTCTAAGGTAGTGAACACAAAGAAACAATTTCAGCAAAATCGGTCTCCAGCACCTTGAAATGAACCCTGTAACTAGAGCTATACTTTTGGTGCATCAAACAGCTGTGGGACCACCGCCATTAGATCCGGCACGGTCCAAAACCCCTATGGGATACGTTTTGGCTTAATCGGGCACTCCAAGACAAAGTTATGGGTAAAAGACTAAAAAGGGGTAGGCCGCACACTATTCCCATGTGGCCTCACTGCACCAAAATACCATTAATGGTGGCTGTTTTTACAGTCATGGGCAGTCACTTTCGGGGCCTATATCTCACTCGTTCCAAGTCGAATCGCTCCCAAATTTGGTGAGTGTATTCGTCTCATCAAGACGAACAATTCGATATGTGGTACTTCCCGTGACGACGCTCGAGCAGAGAGAAAAACTAAATGAAAGTCGCTGATCCGTGAAGGGAGTTGCAGAAAATTCTCCTCGTTCGAGCAGCCAGATCACGACGCTTGCATACCCGATTGGCACGAAACCAATTGCATTATGTGTGTGAGTTCTAAGGCTATCTCTGGTCCGAACCTCGCGTACGATGAACAGTTGGATTTCACACACGAAGACGTCAAAGCTGTTGTAAATTCCGGCCGCCGGACTTCAAGATTCCGGCCAAAAACTCAAGACGACAAAATCTTCATCCGGACATGAAATCAAGCTACGTTCGTTGCAAAATGGTCGTGACGGCATGCTCAATGTGATTCAATGAGATTATTTCATTATATAATTAATAATTAAATAAGTAGTTAATTGAGATTAAAAATTAGTACTAGCTCATAGGATATTAATAAACAAAAATAATACTAATTCTAGTTTATTGAATATTAAAAAATATTAGTTTAGAGGATATTTTAAGAGAGAAAAATAACACTAACTCATACCACTTTAGAATTTATTTCTACATTGATAACCAAATCTTTTATTTTATTTTTTTTAATTTATTTGCATTATAAATTATGTGATATACTATTTTTTCTTCCGGTTGTCAATAATACATTTTAAATTAAATGATATTATAAGATATTTTGGATTTTTTATTATTTGTATAATAAAATAAACTATAAAATATAAACCAACAATTTCAATTCATTATATAATACTATAGGTAGGTTGTAATAATTTGGGTTTTTTTTAGCAGAGTAGGGTTTTCCGCCAATTCGATATTTTGGTGGCCATTTTTTCATCGATTTAATCCATTCTTTATTATAGTTCAGTATAATTATATACTTAATCCATGATAATTCTATTAGTTTACTTTTGTGTGATGTAAATTTAATAGTTAACCTAAGTTCATACTGGGAAAGAACATCTTCATATTCGCATATTGATGAAAAAAATGAAAGTTAATAATGTAGTACCCCCATTTTTTATTGGATTCCTAAAAACCAACATTTATAATGAATTTTGATAATTTTTTTAGATTTTTTTTAACGATTAATCCGATCGATTCAATTGATTCCCTATCCGGATCGCCGATTCACTGATCCGGGGTATCGATCCGTTTTTTAAACCTCTGGCTAAAACATTTGAAGCAAGCTTGTGGGGAAGAAAGGGAGGGGACAAAATGTATAAGAAGGTTATTGATATGAAGATTTAGGAACCGTGTATGAGCACATTTACCCATTAACAATTATGATTTGCTTGAAGTTGATAATTGATGGGTTTCTATGATGAATCCAGCGACATAAAAGTTAACGTTGTGGACCATGCTATCGGGAATACTCTTTTGGTTAAGTTATGTCATATTTTCCCCCACTGGCATAGGTGGTCTATTCAGGAATTACATAGACTCAGTCTTAGCCTCGTTCTTTAGACATACAGGTCCTTCAGATTCTCAAACTGTTGAAGCCCTTGCTCTTCTAGAAGGCCTAAAACAATTCGATCCCTCTTGGGGCTCCAATCTGCTGGTCGAAGGCGGCTCAAGTAATGTCATCACCAAAGCCTTGGGCTCGTCCCCTTGTCCCTGGACTCTGACTTCCATCTTTGAAGAAATTAATCACTTGTGCAGGGACATCACAGTTGCTTGGAGTCATATTTGGCGAGAAAGCAATTCCCTAGCCGATACTCTCGCCAAGACAAGTGCTGCAAATGTCTTTGATTGAGATATTTTTGCAAGCTCAGTCCACTATTGCGAATTTCTCCTCTATGTTTTTCACCTTTTGTTGAAAGTCCATGTATAGAGCTCCCTCGAAGAGGGTTACCATTTTGTTTGTATATAGTCTCCACTATAGTTGTTGGCAACGTTTGTGATTCCGAATCGTTTTTGAATCGGAATCGCGGAATTGCGTGTATCAGAAGTTTCAAAATATGGGAATCGCTGTCCGTACGATTCGGATTTGATAAAAATGATTCTCACTATTTCGGAATCGCGGTTCAAAATATTAGGAATCGTGTTTCCTATTTACAAGAATCGATGTCCCTTCATGTTGGAATCGTGTTTCACACCTATATGGAATCACACATGACCCCACTTGTTTCAGTGGTTGCTAGAATTGTGATTCCTAAAAATAAGGAATTGTGATTCCTAAAATTCTAGAATCGTTGTCCCCATCAACTTGGAATCAACATTCTCACCATTTCGGAATCGTGATTCTCCCCATATTGGAATCGAGATTCTCCCTTTATTAGAATTGCGAACCAATTCCCTCTGGCATATGAGAAAAGTATTCAGAAAATATATAAATTTACCCATTACTATAAGATCGAATTTAGTTTGTGTATACTCATTTCAAGACTCCAAGTACTAATGTCAACTTTTATGATATCTTTGTGGACAATCCGATACAATGGACTCGGTCTACCGATAACCCTATTATGCCTGTAAGGTTTGGAGCTAGTCTACGGCATACAAGAAGTGAGAACAAAGGCAAGTTCCCTTTATCTCATTTCTTTGGATTATAAAATAAGTATATGACATAGTAATTCTTCTTTGTTAAGTGTAGTTTTAAGTCTTTTAACTTTTGAAAATTGAGTTATTTAATTTTTAGTCAATTTCTCTAACATTTAATGAGTAATGTAACCTAAAACACCACACAGGGTACTTCGCTCATATCCTTAATTATCTTCTTATTTTACTTAAAGAAAAGCATTTTTATCCTCTTATTCAACTTGAAGAAATGACGGTGCCTATCATATATTAAGCATTATTACATTAGTAGTTTAGTACCCACACTATTTACCAACATTATGAAATTTGAAGTAACATATTTTTTTAGTATTATTTATTCTTGGTAAGAGTTTGTAAAAAGTAACATGGAGTGAAGGATGGAAATTAGTAAATAAGAAATAAAAAATTTAACAGATTAAATTTTGATTTTATTGCCGTGTACAACAACTTCAAATTCTCTCATGCTCTCATACATGTCGCGCTCATTCATGATTGAGCACACATCGAAGGGTTTCTGCTCTCTATGCTCACATATTACTCATATTTTAAATTTTGATTTTATTGCCGTGCGCAACAACTTCAAATTTTCTCACGCTCTCATACATGTCTCGCTCAATCATGATTGAACACACATCGAAAGGTTTCTGCTCTCCCTATGCTAATATTGCATCCGGACAACATGGATTCACAATTCCTTAATACTTTGAATCAACGTTTAGCATAAATAGAATCGCATTGTTGTGTAGCAAGGAGTCACGTTGTCTGCAATATAGAAACTTGATTCCAAACAACATGGATTCGCAATTCCAAAAAATTTGGAATCAACGTTTCTCACAAATAGAATCGCATTCTTGTGTAGCTAAGAATCAAAAAGTCCTCGATATGGAATCTTGATTCCAGCAATCCAGGAATTGAGATTCCTAAACTAGGTGGAATCGCGTTTCCCAAAAAATCGAAACTTGATTCCTTTATTTTAAAATCGACTTTTGCCAGGGGAAACGCCGAATTGAGATTCTGAAATAGAATTGCTACCCTCATAGGCGATTTGGGTAACTATAGTCTCCACATTGCAGAGACTCATCTTTGTACTGTCCTTCTCCTTTAATACGACAGTTAACTTCTTCAAAAAGAAGTTATGTCATATGTTATCATCCTTGAGTTATTTGCCTTATTTGCTTCCTTCTAAAGTTCCCATGATGCAAGTTAATTGTAGTTCTTTCACTTATGATATCTACAGGTGCTTTCTTGAACTTGTTCCAGCATAAATACTTGGAGGGGCCAACAAGTGACATCTTGAATGTCTATGGCCATGATGTCGTGAATGTTTATGGTATGATAGTGGTGCCAGAACTCTTGTCACAGTCTTGTCTTTGATGAGGCAGAAACTTTTATCTCAAGGCGTGATTCTTTAAAATGTACCTGTGTGGATTGAGCTGTAGTTCGTTAAAAGTTTCTTGCCCTATTTTATCAGTGCGAGGTTCATCAAGTTTGCAAGTTCCATTTTGTTTCCGTGATGGTTATTATGGCGGGAGCATGACACTTCTATTTCGTACACAAAGGTTGGCTCTGCAATTTTGGAAATCATGCATAAAAGAAATACTCTGAGTCATAGTATAATAGTGTAACTTGTTGTCTGACGTAAGGCATTTACTACAGGCTATGTTGGAAGGGCTTCACATCTAAACAACATGTCCAGGAAAAATTCAGCATTAGAAGTGCAATGGATGCTTCCTTTGGTAATATGGCAGCTGATTCAGCAGGTAAATGCACAAAGTATTGCTTTATTTACTTGGACTAGTTATATATTTCAAGAAACGGAACGCTTACATGTGGCGCCACCTGTGACATGTTCTCAGCTGTCCGATCTGTCACAAGTTAACACTTGAGCTGCAGATCTTGATCCTACAGCTCAGAGTATTTTACTTTTTTATTTTATGAATAATTTTGCACTGAAATTTGGGATCTAGGCACACCTAACAGGGGCAACAGGATAAAAATAAATAAAAAATATTTCTGGCTAGGAAAAATGACCAGAATACTCTTGGAATTTACAGGGGCTTTTTGGTGATTTATTTTAATTGGAAATATTTTTTTATTTTTGCCAGGTGTGCCCCAATGAGGTGAGGTCACGCTCCAAATTTCACTGAAAAATGTTTTGTAGAAAGTTAAAAAATCAACCAGTATTTGATGTGAAATCATAAAAGAAACAATTTTAGCCATCCATTTAGATCGGATGGCTACAAACAGGGTTCACATATGATTTACATGTGAATGGCACCTCATGTAAAGCTTTCCCATCAAAAAATGGAAGCTACATGTTGATTGTCTTATGGCTAGTCTAAATGGTTCTGTGCTGTAGTAATGATGTTTTACATTATGTTTGTTGAGGTACTATGTTCTTGTCCATGAAATGCTTGACAAACTATGATCATATGAGTAGGTACAATGGGAAATGGGGATTGCCCTGGCGTTATAAGTATGCCATCAAACTAAGTTTGCTTTACCTAGTTATTTGAAGTACTGTTTAATTGAGAAAGATCTTGTTTTTTTTTTGTGGTGTTTTGTGTTTGGTTTTTTTGGGGTGGGTGGGGGGTGGGGGTTGTTTCAATAATGGGAAGGAAAAGCAAAATAAGGCTCACCTCAAGCTGTATGTCTTAGAGTTTTCACTGCAAACCAGAAAGGTAATGCTTGGAACAGCAGCAATTCGGCCATATTGATCTATATTGGGATGCTTGGACTTTTGTGTGGTTAGATAAGTATCAGTTTAGATGTGCAATAATTCATGCTAGATAACAATCATGGATGCACATTCTGCTATCTGCGGTCTATTTCAGAGAAAAAAAATACTTGCTTGATGGAGGTATTTTTGTTGTCGAATCAGTTTTTGTGTAAAGATCCACTAAAGGTTGTTAGAGATAAGATTACTTAGAATGGCTCTTACATTAGAGGGAGTTTAAAAGTCATGCTTGGCCCCTCCTACAAAATCATTTCATACTTGTGATGCTTTACAACATATAATGCTCAGAGATCATGCTTGGGTATGCAGACATGAATCTGATGCCTATCCTGATTATGGTCTTGTATTGATGCATCTCAACTTGATGCTTGATGACTTTAAAGTATTTCTCCGCCTGATTGTTGATGCATTTATATATTATTGTTGCCATTTCATGTGTTATTCTAGGTTCATTGGCATGCATAGTTGATGCATCAATTTGTGCTGATTTTGCTTCTCATTGGATAGTGTACATCTGGAGTAGCTTTGCAGAGAACAAAAAGAACATTTTGGTCCAAAATAATATCAAATATGCATGGTATGAGACACTTAATGCTAACTAGAGGGACTGGCAAAGTTTTGCAATCAGCTCCTAAGTTATTTGGAATTAGGACTCAGAAATAGACAAAAAATTGGGACTGAATTGCATGGGATCCATCTCAAGGCTCCACCGCATCTTCCTCCCTCCCCTCTACACAGCCTACACCCACCGCTGCTACTCCATCCTCGTGCCCCTTCGTGCCTCCCCAGCAGCACCCCCTCACTCGTCCTTCGCCAAATCCTATTAATAACAACCTGTCCCTCCAAGCCCCTCCCCACCCCTCCTCCATTCCCCCTTTGCCAAGAAGTTGCCTTATCCATAGCCGTTTAGATACTATACACTTAAAGCCAAACTCTACTCGGCTTTGGTGGGCTTCTTCTACCCCCATCGTAATGATGACCGCGGTATCGAAAGGTGGGGACGGAAGGTTTGGGGAGAACCAGACCTATGCTGCCGAAAGCTTACTAATGGCCGTGTTCTCTTCTTCTTTCCCTCTACTCAGAGAGTCATTTCAGCCTCGAACATAGCGTTTCCGGTCTTCTGTGGAGCGACCCTCTCCCTTTCCCCCTGGTCTCAAGAGCTAGTATCATTTAAGGCCCAAAGAGTATGGCTTAGAACTTTCGACATCCCACTCCATGCTTGGACCCCTGAAACGTTCCGCTCCATTTTAGGAGCTTGTGGCTCCCTAGTATCCATTCACTGGAAGTTAGTGGAATTCCCCCCTATGGGTTCAATTTAACTATTGGTAGAGGTTCTCAAACCTTCTTCTCGTTGGCTTGAGGTGGAAGGCAGTTTCTTCGGGGTTCGGTTAGCATGGCAATTTGCCTCACCTCCTCCCCCGCCATGTCCAGGTGCAGGACCATGGACCCCAACCTCCTACTGACCAAAACAAGCAGACCACTGTAGCCCGGAAATGCAACAACCACAGCCCACATCCCCACTGAAGCCGTCCATCTCTACATCGGAGGGCTAACTCTCTTGATCGCTATCCCAGTCAGTCTGCCACTTCTCTCAATCCATGTGTCCCACCTTTTTACCCACCTAACAGCTATACCATCTCCCTTCTCCTTGCATGCAACATGTCAACCACCTTCAACCCGTAATGTGATGCCGACACATTTCCTGTCCCTTCTGACCTTCAGCCGCCTTCTCTCCACGTGACTGACCGTATTTCTCTCTCTCCTATCTCCCATCCCTCTCCTAGACTTCCCACCTGATCCCTTCCTCATCCTCGCGCGACGTTGCTTCATCTTCGTCCTACACCGGCCACCAACCCACCTCGTACTTCCTCTACCTCTTCAGCTGGCAAGTCCTCCCTGGGTCTCCCTCCCTGGCTATCTGTTTCCAACTCTCGGCCCACTTCATCCAACGGTCACCTGCTCGCCGTTGACCCTTCCTTGAGCACCCTTCCCTTTGTCTTAGTCCAGTTCCTGGTACGTCCATCTCCTTCTAGTTCTCCTCTTCCCCCTTCCATTTCTTCGTCCCTCCTATCTTCTCGTCTAACCCTCTCCCTTCTTTCTAACTCTCTTACCCCATTTTCTTGAGCCCCCCTCGCCCCACAAGACTCTAACCATCCCACTCCTCAGCCCCACCAACTAGATGTTCTCACCATTGCCTCGGTCCTCAACCCTGCTGTAGCCAACCACCAGTTGCCCCTTACCTAGTCAACAAATGCCTCCGAAGACCTCGAAGACTGCTTCGGTACACCTTTCGACACCCCTCGTCATGATCCCCTACATCGTCCGATCGTTCGGGTATCTCATCCCCGGTCTGTCATCCACCCCCCTTTCTCCTCTTTACTCATCCCCTCCCTCTATTGCCTCGCTTAACCCCCCTTCTCCCCCCCAAGATAACCATCCTTGCTCCACTTCCCCTTCAACCTCAGCCCCCTCCCGCTCCTCCCCCCATCCTACTCTCCCACCCACCCTCTCCCCCCTGTGATCCACCTCCCTCCACGTGGACTCTCTCGTACCCCTCATCCTTCCTCTCTCCCTCCCCTATCAACCCAGCCCCCATCTTCTCGTGCCTGCCCCCTCAACCCTTCATCTCCTCCCTCTTTTTCCCTCCTACCCCCTATTTCTTTACTGGGCCCCCCTCTACCTCGTCTACTGCCACTGTTCCCCCCTCAATATCTTCCCCCTTCTTACCTTGACCCAGCATCCTCTCAGTCTGCGCCCCCCCCTTCCATATTTGCCTCGGCCTCCCTTTCAATCCATTCGATCCATTGAATCATCGCTTTCTCTGACCTCGGTGAATTTAGCTTTCATCGATGCTTGCGATCAAGCACATGGGAACGTATCCTAGGTCCTTAGAGTCATGGGTCTCCAATTCAATGGACTTCAAGAGGCTCTCCAAGCCTTTTTGAAATCGGAAGTTAACTCTAACCGAAAGACTAAAAAAAGAGGATTAAGAGAAATCTCGAATCTCGCATGAGGCATTAACTATCACCGGCCATCCCTTCCTTACCCATTTCAAAGCAAACTGGGATCCCAAGCCTCGGTGGAAGCCTCCCTTCAACTCTCCCTGTTTGCCCATGCTAATTCTTTGTTGGAACGTCTCAGGCCTCGGGCTCCCGGTTAAGCGCAATGCGATGCGCGATAGCATTGGCCGTTATTTTGGGGAAGAAGACGATGTGAATAGGTGGCTAGACCAGCAACAGGGGCGTTTCGTGGAATTTGGATCATTTGTGATCCTGCTTTCTTCTCTCTCTCCTACTCTCTCGAAGCTACCTTCTCGATGATGGTTCTTTTGTCATGAGTATCGGATGACCTGGTTTTCAAGTTTTCAACTATCTATGGCTCAAATTCAGACGGTCTAAGGTATACCTTTTGGACCGAACTAGATGCTATCGCATCTCTCCCTTCACCTACATGGTATCTTGGAGGAAATTTCAATATTACACGATGTTCGTTTAAAGAAATTCTCTTTCCAGAGTAACTGCAGCCATGTCTTAGTTTTCTGACTTCATCTCTCTCCACAGCTTGATTGATATTCCGCTTAAAGGGGCTCGTTACACTTTGTCCAACCACTCCCCTTCCCTAACTCTCTCTAAACTCGACTGGATTCTCTTCAGCTCTGATAGGGATGCCACTTTCCTCGGCTCCCATGCCTTTGCCTTACCTAAGCCCACCTTAGACCATTGCCCCATACTTCTCGACACCACTTCCATAGTGCGTGGCCAAAACTGTTTCAGTTTAAGCGGTTATGGCTCGAAGAGGCAACCTTTCTCCATCTTGTCCCTCTCTGGTGGAACTCTTTTACTTCCCAAGTCTTGGGGAGAGGCAGTTTTAGGCTTCAAAGAAAAATTCCAGTTGCTCAAAAACACAATTACCAAATGGAGGAAGCAACATCTGGGCAATTTCCATTCCCGAAAAAGTGATATTTTACATGCCATCCAGGGATGGGACTCACTCGAAAAGCTTTGTCCACTTACTGATGTGGAGACTGGAGAGGCAAACCAGGGCACTACTCAAGATCGATTACCAAACCATCCTAAAGCAAGAGGAGATTTACTGGTATCAACGATCTCGAGTTAGGTGGCTCAAGTTCGGGGATCTTAATACCTCCTTTTTTCAAAGGATATCCAACTGTAGGAGGCGAGATAACTCAATAGCTCACATCAAAATCGAAGACAGCTATTTAGAACAGGCTTCTAAGGTGGAAGGAGCAATTATCGAATTCTTCACGAACCTTTTCATAGCCCCTTCCGGCCCCAAACCCACTTTGGGGGACCTATCCTTCCTCTCCCTCCCCCACAAGAAGGCAGTTTGGACTGAATGACCATTCTCAGAGGAAGTTGATTCTAAGGGCAATTCACAATCTCAGTCAAGACCGGGCCCCAGGCCTAGATGGATATCCCATTGCCTTCTTCAAGTCCTTTTCGCCCTCCTTAAAGGCAGATTTTCTGGACTGCTTTACTGAATTCTATGACAGAGGGGTGCTCCACAAGACTCTCAATGCTACTTTCATTGCTTCGGTCCCAAACTGGGGGGGGGGTTGAGGAACTTAAAGATTTCCGGTCCATTAGCCTCATCAACAACACATACAAGTTCCTCGCAGAAGTGTTAGCCTCTCGCCTCAAAGAAGTGTTAGGCCTAGTATGGGGCCTTTGTCAGGGATCACCAAATAGACCACAGTGCCTTAGTCGCCCATGAGTGCATCCACTCGAGGCATCCTTCCACACTTCCGGGCTTGGTCATCAAGCTTGATTGGGAGAGGGCTTACGACCATGTATATCGTTTAATCATTCTTGAAACTCTTGCACGTATGGGCTTTGGTCCACGATGGCACAAGTGGATGCACGTATGGGTTTTCGTCCACGATGACGCGAGTGGATGCACGTACTTCCAATCCCCACTTCTCCTTCCTCATCAACGGATCCCCCAAGGACTACTTTCCCTCTTCTAGAGGTTTGTGCCAGGGAGACCTCCTTTCCCCTTCCTATTCGCCATTATGGCAGGAGTATTCACCTGTTCTACTTACCGCCTAGTGCAAGTTGGGTGGCTACAAGGATTTACCATCGGATCCCAAGGACTTACCATCTCCCATCTTCAATACGCAGATGACACCCTCGTCTTCTGCAAGGCTGATGCCTGGGAAGTCGATACCCTTCTACCGTTTCTTAAATGTTTTGAGTGTGCAACTGGATTTAGGGTGAATATGGATAAGACCAAGATGATGGGGGTAGCCCTCGACTATCACATCACCCAGGAGTTGGCCGAGAGATGGGGCTGTTTGGCCAACAAGCTCCCAGGTACTTACGTCGGACTTCCCCTTTCTATTGGGAAGCCCAAGCTCAACGAGTGGGCTCATCTGATAGACAAATTTTATCGAAAACTAGCCACTTGGAAGGGTCGGTTCCTCACCCCGGGTGGGAGAACCATTTAGATAAAGGCAACCCTATCCAATGTGCCTTTATACCAGATGTCTTTTTTTCTAATGCTGGCCTTGGTAAGAGCCCCACTTGAAAAACTTATGTGAAAATTCTTGTGGGCCGGTGAAGAGGATAAGCACAAATATATCACCTCATTTCCTGGGATAAATTCTGTCTCCCTCGCTCTCAAGGTGGTCTTGGCATTCGTTAACTTAAATTCGTTAATCTAGCGTTGCTCGGAAAGTGGTGGAGGTGGTTTGCAACTCAAGATAACCACCTATGGAAGATGGTACTATCCTCTCGATTCTCAGGAATTTGGAAATCTATCCTCGCGATTCTCCATCTCTTCAAAAGCCACACCGGACTTCACCCCAGAAGGGGCTCTCAAGTAAGCTTCAGACATGACCTGTGGTTGGGCCAAACCACCCTCAAGGACCAATTCCCATCACTTTTCCTTTTAGTCCTTGATTGCCAATCCACCTTCGAGGACCGTGTGACCAGTCCTAGGGTTGACCAGAACATGGAGTCCAAACTTCAGAAGCCCCCCATCTGACGAAGAATTCCAAGAGTTACTTGACCTCTCCTCCTGTCGTCGTTCTTCTTTTCTTCCCCTTCATGTAGAGACAGCATCCAAAAATTAAGTTCTTTAACTGGCTGGCCTTGGCTGAGAGAGTACTCAGTAGACCAACTTCAGCGAAGGGGAATGCCAATACCAAACCGCTGCGTCGTGTGTAAGGCTGCCGAAGAGACCAATGCCCATTTGTTCATCCATTGTCCCAACGCTTTCCAACAGTGGGGATCCCTTCTTCAGTTATTTCAGTGGCAATGGGTTACCCCCATCTCCATATCTCAACCATGTTCCTTACTATCTCGCTTTCCATGGCCCAATTCTGGTATCTTACTTTGGAAAGCGGCAGTTGCTACCCTTCTTAGGACCGCATGGATTGAACGCAATCAACACATTTTTCGCGGAGAAAGTTCATCTCCATCAGTCTTATTCAATAAGATCAAGTCCTCCGGTTTTTTGGGCTTCAAATCACAAGAGCTTCAAAGAGTTCCCTCTCTCGACATTCCACTTGGACTGGGTGACCATGCTCAACCTCAACGGGCATTGTATCCCTCGTGCTTCTCTATGGTGTCCACCGGAATTTGATTGGATCAAACTGAAGTTTGATGGTTGCTCCCTAGGCAACCCCAGCCGGCATAGGTGGTCTATTCAGGAATCACGTAGGCTCAGTCTTAGCCTCCTTCTCTCGACGTATAGGCCATTCAGATTCTCAAACTGCTGAAGCCCTCGCTCTTCTAGAAGGACTAAAACGATTCAATCCTTCATGGGGCTCCAATCTGCTGGTCGAAGGCGACTCAAGGAATGTCATCACCTGGGCCTTGGGCTCATCCCCTTGTCCATCGACTCTGACTTCCATCTTTGAAGAGATTAATCACTTCTGCAGGGACATCACGGTTGCATGGGTTCATATTTGGCGAGAAAGCAATTCCCTAGCAGACATTCTCGCCAAGACGGGTGCCACAAATGTCAGTGACGGATTTTCTTGCAAGCTCAGTCCACCATTGCGAATCTCTCCTCTATGTTTTTCACCTTTTTTTTAAGTTCAGTATAGAGCTTCCTCGAAGAGGGTTGCCATTTTTGTCTGTGTATAGTCTCCACATTTCGGAGACTCATATTTGTACTATCCTTCTCCTTTAATACAACTGTTAACTTCTTCCAAAAAAAATGGGGACTGAGATAGACCTTAAAATTTATGTATCAGTGTTTCGAATTTCATTATTGAAATTTTTGTAGCTTATTGCGCTTTTATTTTGTACTCTGATCTCTCCACTTTGGTAGAAACATTCTGATTAAACTCCTTTTCAGCTGTCTTTCCAAGAATAAACATCAGAGATCCATACAAGAGACTTGGGATCAGCAGAGAGGCTTCTGAAGAAGAGATCCAAGCTGCACGCAACTTCCTCATAAACAAATATGCAGGCCATAAACCAAGTATTGATGCAATAGAGTCAGCACATGACAAGATAATCATGCAGAAGTTCTATGAAAGAAAAAACCCAAAGATAAATGTTAAGAAAAAGTTTAGGGAAGTGAGTCAATCGAAGGTAATCAAGGCTATTGTGAGCCGGTTTGAAGCTCCCTCGGATGAGTTCATAATCAAGATTGCTGCAGCTTTTCTAGTGCTTGGGGTCTTAACCGTTCTTTTCCCAACAGAGGAAGGTCCTACACTTCAAGTGGCCATTTCTCTAATGGCATCTATGTATTTTATATACTCAAGGCTCAAAAATCGAATTAGGGCTTTCTTATATGGGTATGCTTGCAAACTTATTCCACACATTGAATTTGCATTTTATAGGGTTTTTTCTTATGGTTCAGTCTCTTGAATTTATTATGAGTTAC